TGTGACGGAACTGGACGTGACCACTTTGATTTATTTCGATCACTTGTTGAGGTTGGTGATGTACTGCAAGAAGTCGCACGACTACATTTACCACAATTTCATGCAGCAGTGGAACGTGCTGGTTTACCTGTCTGTTTACTTGCATATAAATGGTTTCCAACTCTTTTTTCGGACGTAACATTAACTGCATCGCATTCACAATTACGATTTGAAACCTTATTGTGTTGTTGGGATGTATGTTTACTTCTTGGAATTGAAGGTATGTTTTGTGTAGCATTGGCTCTCTGTAGTTCGGCAGAAGAAGACGTGCTGGCTTTAAGTGCATCTGGTGATACTGCATGCACGAGTGCTGAGCAGGTGAGTGCAACGGTTGGACGTTCGTTAGCATTGCTTCCACCAGAAGACTTGATCACGAACGTTTGTAAAGTACTGGAATTATATAGTCATCCAGTGCTGCTTAAGCTACGAGATGCACATCGTCGTCGCCTAAAACTTGTCGTGAGCTTCTTCGTCGTCGTTTTTGCAATCGTTTGGACATCTTCGACCTTCTCTTCCTTCAATGTCTTAGACTGAACTTGATTCTCCTCTTCCTCCTCAACTTTAACTTTTTCTTAACTTTACGTTTCTTAGACTTTTTGACACTCTTCGTCTCGTTCTCCTTTCCACTCTCACTTGTTTTCTCTTCAACCTTTTATTCCTTTTCCTGTATCTTCATCGATTCTTCAATTCGAAATTGAAATGAATCAACATGTGAAATACTAAAGTATTTCTTGTATAACGTGTAAAGTGCTGCACGATTACATTCAATTGTATCATCTGCTGATGCAATAGCAAAGATACGATGTTGTACTTGTGCTAAGTCCACACATTCAAACACCATTGTCTCCTCTTCATCATCCGTTGCTTCTTTCTCGCAATTCATCTCCTTTTTATCATCACTATACAATTGAAATGGGTACTTCTGCATCATATCTTCAAACACGACATCTCGTACACGCTTAAACACTGTTTTATCATACTCAGACGATAATAAAGAGAAAAGTGGCTCTAGTAGCATCACAAATGCCTTCGTTGTCACATCTTTTGCTGCTGTATACACTTCCGTCAAGTATACATCCGCTAAATGCAAACGTAATCCATTTGGCAATTGATTGACAACTTCTGTAGATAAAATCATGACAAACTCTTGCACCAACTTTTCTTGCCAATCTTGTATACGCAGTAATACAATAGTCTCGTGGATAAATTTACGTACTAATGAGTAAAATTTATCAAGACGAAGACCATCAAGTCCATGCCACTCACGATGCATAGTACGAAAAAACGAATGCACAAATTCTAACGCCATGTTAGCAGTT